GAGATGCTGCAATGGTCAGAAGTGTCGTAAGTCACTTTTTAAAGTGGTGTAACTTTGAACGGTCACTAAATGAATGGTTGTAAGTCGAGGACTATCTGTACTAAGGCAAGGCTATGGATTGGCCCTATATTTTTGCCGATAGGAATCAGGCTGCTGGGCCTGGAAGTGGAAGAAAACATTTTGGCTCCAGGTCTCTTGCAACCTTAAATCCAAAAGCCCTGTGTAATGCCACTCACTCAGTCAGTCCACGTCCAGATTCTTTCTGGGAGGGGATCCTTGAAAAGGATAATAGCCTGTCGCCATCCAAAGATCTCTGCTCTCTCCCAGATTGCTGTAATATAGCTGTCAATTGTTAGTGGTGGTCCTTTGTTCTCCAGTCAACTGGGGTTTGGAACTGCTGCTGCTTCTCCCTCTTCCTGACCCCCGAGAAAGGCAGGAGGCAAAAAAAAAAAAAAAAGAACAACACTAAGGAGCCACAAGGGATGCGATGGCTCAGTGGGTAAGACGTTGACCTTGTCGATCGAAAGATCGGCAGTTCAGCGGTTCGAATCCCTAGTGTCGCGTAACGGGGTGAGCTCCCGTTACTTGTCCCAGCTTCTGCCAACCTAGCAGTTCGAAAGCACGTAAAAAATGCAAGTAGAAAAATAGGGACCACCTTTCGTGGGAAGGTAACAGAGTTCTGTAAGCCTTTGGCGTTTAGTCATGCCGGCCACATGATCACGGAGACATCTTCGGACAGTGCTGGCTCTTCGGCTTTGAAACAGAGATGAGCACTGCTCCCTAGAGTCGGGAATGACTTGCACATATGTACGAGGGGAAACTTAATTTAAGAAGGAGCCACAACAATAATGATCAAAGAAACTTAGCAAATTGCCCTGGGGTCCTGGGCCATTCCATCACAGCAATCATTCGTGGCCTCTTCTATCTTCCTTCCTCTGCATGGCACTTTCTGAGTCAGGCGGACTACAACTCACATGGATTATAACTTCAGATACATTGTCCAACCTTCCTGAAAGGCCTTAGGCAGGAAAATCTATATGGTTCTTCCCTGCATGAGTCTCTGTTCTGGGACTTCTTGCCTTCTATTTTAAACCAACATTCCCTCCATACAAAAAAATACAGAGAGAGGACATTTTCTCTTCCTCTTTCTTAAAGCGAAGCCAATTCAAGCAGCTTCCCCAAATTTGGTTCTTTTCAGTTGGGGCGTGTTGCAGCTTCCCACTTTCTCAATTTGTGTGTCCAAAGGCTGGCTGAGGATTTGGCAAGTTGCAGTTGTAAAGCTTCTGGAAGATGCTGCTTTGTTGAGGAAAGTGACATTGGCATAACAAGTGGGGTTTTTTTTCCCCTGGAGAAATTCTGCTGTCTCCAATTGAGGAATGCTGGGAAGCAGATTTCCTAAATTGAGGGGGACACCATTACTCCACAGGTGTTTCTTGTCCTGAATCTAAGCTTAGTTTGTTTCAGGATCCAATTTGAGTCGGTCACAGGGACCAAAGATTTAGTCTTCTGAAGTTTCGGATTCTCACTGAAGTCCATCCTCAGAGAACTTCTCTCTCACCAGATGTGTGTGAGAGAAGTTCCTTGAGGATGGGTTCCAGCATGAGTTTGAAAGCTCAGAAGACTAAACTTTTGTTCCCACTGACGGACCCAGGTTGGATCCTGCAACATTATCCTGGTACATGTGGCTTCTTTCCTTAGTTTGTTTCCTTTTCTTTTAAGAACTATTTTTCAAGTCTGGACTCTTAGGAGTCCAGTGTTTATTGTTCTGCCAGGGCTGTTGATGGATTTTCCCCTAATGATTGCTGCTATCTCTGAGCTGGGTGGGCTCATTTTTTTGTAGGAGGACAAATGCTGGCTAATCCACATTTCTCACAGGGATAAATTCCAGAAAGGTGAGTGTGCGTGTGTATGCTCTCCCTTTTGTGGATCAGAACACCTTAAATGAAAATGGCCAGAAAATCTTACACCACAATCAACCCTTAAGATACCATATGACAATTTGGCAACTAATCAGAATAGCCACAATTATTGTTTTTCCTTGCCTGGGGTAAATAGGGAATCTAAAAATGCCAACCAAGCTGGGGCTTTTAAGCTGAAAGTCTGTTTGCTTAGAAGGAGTGGATACTGGCTTATCTGTTTGCTCTGCTGTCTTGCAATAGAGGTGAGGCAGCAGCAAGAAAAGAAGAGAGTCCCAGAGCTTACGGATCTTCTCCTGATACTTGGAACCTCTCAGATCTTGAGGGGTGGGGAACCTTGGCCCTTTTATGACTTGTGAACTTCAACTCCCAGAATTCCTGGCTTGTTCAGGAATTCTGGGAGTTGAAGTCCACAAGTCATAAAAGGATCAAGATATCCCACCCCTGATCTAACCGACACGTGTCAAACTCACTGCGTCATGTTGCTGTCACGTGATGATTCGTGCCGTTTTTCCCACTCACAGAGTTGGGGTAGGTGTGACCTGCACGTGACGCATCCGGCCCACGGGCCACCAGTTTGACACCCCTGATCTAACCCATGGACTCTGTGTATGTGTTTATGGTCACAGTGACATCAAAGGAAATAGACAAAAGCCCCTGGAAGGAGGAACTGGTTGTTAGAAATATACTTCAGATTTAATCAAGTGTATTATAACAAACAGTTCCTTCTTTCTCCACCCTTTGTCTATATAACATTGTAGATCAATGACAAATCTGGTTCCAGGGAGTGTGAAGAAAGAGGCTGGGTTTGAACTGTGCCTTTGGGGATTACTTGGAAGGATTAGTAAAATATTTGGATTAGGCAGAGGTAACATTAGCTAATGGACTATTCCCTTGCATAGGGCAAAGGTGAGGAGTGCAGCTCCCTCTGAGCTGGGGTTTCTGACACCTCACAAGGGCTTTCCAGAGCATTGTGCGACATCTCCACCCTACATGTTTCAGTGCGTAAAACTATTGATCTTATGCATGTTTCTGTGAAAGTAGTTTCAGTGAAGAAACTCATTCCCAGGTAAGAGCACAGATAGGATGATATTCTAACTGTCTTGAGTGAACACAGCCATGCTGGCAGTGACAACTGAAGAAGAGGGTCAGAGGCAGCAGAGGGCAGGACTCCTATAAATGGAGCCAAGAAGCTGTTGTAGGCTCTACAGAAGGTCCCTTAAACTGGAATAAATAACCTTAAATAAGGAACTGTAATTATTATAATTCCTAAGCTGAGGAGTAGTAACTCAGTAGCAGTTAGAAGATTTTGGCCCTATCATACTAGCTCAGTGCTTTTCAACTGGCTGGGGAATTCTGGGAGTTGAATTCTGCACATCTTAAAGATGCCAAGGTTGAAAAACACTGTACCTCACTACCTTCTAGACAGCTGTCCTGACATTTCAGGAAGATACTTACGTCCTTGAACAAGGCATATGGCTCCTGTGCTTCCAGAGATGTAATTTGTCCAGAGTAGCTTAGCTAGAAGGCTAAGCAAAGGCAGAGGTTGGACCATATGGCACAAAGTGTAAATATAAATGGGCTGTTTGTTTCCATTGGAAACAGCAGCTGGTACTTAGAGTAGCTACAAGCTGATCTCCTTATCTTTTGTCCGGAAGAGAGGAAACACTGACAAGGAAGAGGTGCTTTTAGTAATGATGAAAATAAGGACAAGAAGTTAAGGAGAGTTTATAACCTTTCATTGTTCCAGACAAAGGCCAGTTTACAAAAAAACTCAAACTCTTTCAAAGAATCAGGATGGTGGGATAGATATCCTTCAAAAATGTTTACCTATCATGGGAGAACATCTCTTGAGGGAACACAGTAGGAAGGAAGACTTGCCAAACACTTCCCATCAAGCAAACCACTTATATTTCTGGAGTTCCCTTTCCACCATTGCTAGATAGGCATGGACTAGAGAGAGATGAAAATATAGGAATATATTTTGTCAGGACCACAGAGGTGGGAATAGAAAGGGAGATCATGGATGGTTTTCCTTGAGCTAAACCTTTCTGAAAGATTCCGCAAATTACCCTCTATTTGGAAACATTTTAAAACACCCTTTTCCAACTTGGTGCTGTCCAGATTTGTTTAATTTAAATTACAATTCCCAGGTGCCTTTGGCACCTCAGGAGATCACCAGAGATGCAAATTACATCTCTGGAAGCACAGGAGAAGTTCGTCCTACACTATCCTTGTAAGCTTGCTATAACACTAAAGAGGGTGATAAGCAGAAAGAGGTAAACACTTTAAAGATGATTTCCCAAGTATTGCTTTGGACTTCATGCATGCACAAGACTATTCTGCTACTCATCACAACAGTCCAACTTTTTCACTCTTATGCAAACCTGAACAAAACAAACTTAATGCAATGAGTTTGCATTAAGAAGTTGGCTTCTTAAAGATGTGGCATCTTTTCTTTCAGGCTCGCACAGAACCCTGAAAAAAGTTGGGGCACTTTGATTAGTAGCAGAGAGGAACTGTGCTTACAGGAGATCCAAAGCGTTTTTCAAAAAAAATAAAATAATTATAAGCCTTGTTAAATCTGTGGCAGTGTTTCTCTACCTTGGCAAATTTGGGGCTTCAATTCCCAGATTTCCCAGCCAATGTAAGAAGTCTACACATCTTAAAGTTGTTGCAGTTGAGAAATACTGTTCTATAGTGGCAAAAAAAATCAGGGAGTTTTGTGAAAATGTAAGTTTTTAAATAATATTTATTAATCGGAAAAAGTGCTACCAGATTCCTGATTTTCTGTTAAGTTCTCCTCATTGAGTTACCCCCAGCATTGATAGAATAAGACGGTTGTAGTAGAGCAGACAATGAATGACTCCCGGTCACAATGGCTAAAGTAAGATGAAGATGAGATATTGCCATTTGTTTGTTCTTCTCTTTGTTGACTGCTAGTTCTGCTTGCTTAATTAGATCACTGTTGACAGAAGAGAGAGAGAGAATTCTTTAATAAGGAAGCATGAGGGGGGAAAACATGAATATGTCAATATAACCCCAACCAGCCATATTAATGGGCTTTTGCACCTCATCTTGTAGGTGATGCTGCTTGGAGATTCAGGTGTGGGGAAGACCTGCTTCCTCGTCCAGTTCAAAGATGGAGCCTTCCTCTCTGGGACCTTCATAGCTACTGTCGGGATAGACTTCCGGGTGAGGTCATTATTAATGCTGGAGATAGTTTGCTACAGAAGGGAAGTGTGTTGGGCATCGTGCAGGAGACATTTGAGCTAAGCACAAGGCAGGATGAAGGACATTACATGGATGCCAACATTTGTCATGCCTGGTTTTGGTCTTTCAGTAGCTGGATCAGGAATCCAGCACTTGGAGACCCAGGGGCCTCGTCCTATTCCTCTCTGCTGTGGTTGTAGTAAAAACAAACAAACTGAAACCCAAATGGTCTTTCGCACAATCTATCAAAAGAACAGCTTGCCTCTCAGAGTCGGTGGGTGGGTGGGTGGAGAGTGGGTGCTCCATTGCTGCAAATTTCAATAAATGATTGGACAACCATTTGTCTGGGATGATGTAAGGCAGGGGTCCCCAACCCCCCAGGCCGCGGCCTAGTACCAGGCCGTAGCCCATTTGGAATCAGGCCGTGGAAGCCATGGGGGAGCATGCGCATCCACGCGTAGTCCCACTTGTGCGACCAATGAGCGAACGCGTGTATGAAGCTCCATTTGAGCGACTGGCAGGTGCACGTGCTTGCCACTTGTGCAAATGGAGCTGCACGCATAACGCTCACCTGTCATTCACACAGAAAAATCCCCTCTCCCCACCTACCCACGCCGGTCCGCAAAGCCAGAAAGATTGGGGACCACTGGTATAAGAGCTCCTGCCTTGGGCAGCGGTTGGAATACAACACCTCCATGGTCTCTTCCTGCCCTATGATTCCATTATTCTATCCTCTCTTCCTCCTTCATTTACACACACGCACACACATTTTCAGAGCTGCTGGTAGTCCTAGACTAGGGGTCTCCAATCTTGGCAACTTTATGACTTGTGGACTTCAACTCCCAGAATTCCTCAGCCAGCTTTGCTGGGAGTTGAAGTCCACAAGTCATAAAGTTGCCAAGATTGGAGACCCATGTCCTAGACGGAAATTTCTGTCATCTTCTCTCGTAGAACTTCTGTAGTTTTGGGATGGAAGAAAAAAAGTAAAACAATGGTCTCACATCATCACATACATAATATGATTTATATACTATAATATGTGTCAGACATGTTGTGTGCCTTAGACTAGAGCTCAAGAGATGCTATTTCATTCATAAATTGTACATTGAAAACAACGTTTTGTTGGCACTATTGGATGGAAGTCAGTGCTACAGGATTTTAAATAGCTTTTTCAATATCTTTATTCAGATCCATAGTCAATAAAGTTATGGAGGGCTAATAAAAATTGCACTCAACTATTTTTTTATGGTGCTAATCTGTTATTAGCTTCAATTTACGAGCCTGTAAGCTATTTTTCAATGTTCCTTCCATTATTGAGTTAATTAATAATAGAACACTCCTGTTGCAGGATAATTCTAGCCAATTGTTCTTGTTGGGTTTTTAAAAATCCAAAATTGTACTCTTTTCATGCCTTCTTACTTCCCCTCACTTTTGAGAATCCGTTCATATGTAAAGCTTTTATTAAAAAATTGTTCTTGTATTGTCTCAGCTCAGCTGTTCAAACCTTCAGAAGAACTTGTTTCCAGGCCTTTTAAAAACTTGTGTAATTGAACAGGATCTATTAACAAGCCCTGGTGTACAATGTAAGGACCCTCCAGAGAATTCCTTTTTGTTTAAGGTCAGCACTTCCAGCAGGCTAATCTCGTAAAGTGCTGGAGAGAAGTTTCCTGAGGATGGGCTCCAGCATGAGTCCGAAAGCTCAGAAGACTAAATCTCTGGTCCCAGTGACTAACCCAAATTGGATTTTGTCTTCATCTCTAGAAATTGTATGATGAAGCTTTTAAATTCTGGAAGAATGCTTTTGACTAAATAAACTTTATAACTAAAAAAAGGGGTTGAAAACACTTTAAATGCATTTGTTATATATCTCTGATGGTTAGAATTAAAAAAATATGAAGCAAACATTAATTCCCTTCTTCCTTTTGGCAACAAAACTAATGATAGCTTAACACTGGAAATGTTTTGGTTAAAGCTCTTGGTTCAGAATAGTAACAGACAGAATGGTAACAGTCTGGTTAATTGTTGTGTTTTAAAAGATCTCTAAAATGTACTATATGCATAACTTGAATATCTTTTTCCAAGGATTAGTATGCATCTCTTCGTTATGTAAGTGATAAATGTAGTCAATTAAAATTATCGCAATATGTAGGAAACATGATAAACTTCACAATGGAATGTCAGATATGTACTGTACATAGATAAGTAAAATTTTTGTTTGATGAATTAAAGAGAAAAAATGTGGGTACTGAATTATATGTTACAACTTGGTAATGTGTGGTATGTACTGTCTTTCTCGTGCTTAGTTTTCTGAGACTAATCAAAACAACCTGTTTGGCCATGATATTAACTGTGTGGACAATCTATGTTAAGCTGACTTCCTCCAAATGTGTAAATTCTGGAATTACCAGTTTATATGGCCAATGCTGGCTCCAATTCATCTAGAGAAGACTATTGGGAAAGAGTAACCGGTCCTAGGAGATTGTTCATAATAGTTTAAGACCATTGTAATAATTTGTAATATTAGGCACTGGGCATTTTAAAGCAAAGCAATAAATAACTTGAGAAGGTGCCTCTAAGCGATCCTTCTTAGGGCTCCAAAATAATGTTTTGGTTCTGATTGCGCTGAACCAAATCAAACTTTTACATATCATGTCAAATTCATATAGAACACATTATTTTCCTTCCTTCCTAAATTATATTAGGTAGCTATATTCTATGTGCATTATAGTGAGATGTGTGATAGTCCTTTGAGGTTGTCCAGAGAGAGGCACAAACCATGAGTAGTAATGCTAACTTTATTGTAACGTTATAGTAAAGAATCTTGCAAGTTTGAAAGAATTTCTGTCCTCCTTTACTTTTATTTTCCCCAAAACTAGGAAAGTTGTCTTCTGATATAGTTCCCATGCCCCCTTTCTTTTTGTGGGTTGAGATATCTTATGCATCACTATTGTCTAAGATGTGGCTCTTCCTCCTGTTTCCCAAGAACGTATGCAATATAGTGTTCCCATATCTTCATGTTGAAAAACTAAAGTCTCCCTCAAGTTGAGCTGGACTTCTGGTGACTTCATGGATGCATTCATGTAATTTTCTTGGCAAAAGTATGGAAGTGTTTTTCCTCTGCTGCCTTCTAGGGTATTTTCACAGTATAGCCTATAGGGCTGTGATGGTGAACCTATGGCCCGCATGCCACAGGTGGCCTGCAGAGCCCTCTCTGCGGGCACATGAGTGTCACTCCAGCTCAGCTCCATTGCGCATGTGTGTGTGCCTCCCGCCGGCCAGCTGTGTCAGATGTAAATGCCTTATTCTCTAATGTGTAAATAGTATATGAACGGGGTATCAGGGGTTAACTTATTCTCCACTTCTTAATGTATTCATAATTCACCACTCCCACATATAGCTCCACCCATTGTATATATAAGGAGCTACATGCACCCTTTTCCTTGCTTCTATCTGTGAATATAGAATGCCTATTGTAAATAAAAGGAAATATATTTAAACCTTTAACTCTTACTAATCTTATTGAGTCTGATCCTGAAAATATTGCAACAAGCTGGTAGCAGAGGATGGTTAATTGACTCAATAAAAACTTAAAAATGCCTAAGAAAGATAGGCCCAACACCAGGGCCTACAGCAAAGAAATGGAAACAGAACAAGAAATAATCAACGAATCCACAAACGCAATTTCGAGAGAATCCGAAGAATACACCACTGAAGACGAAGAAATAATAGATGAAAATGATGACCAGGAGGAAATCGAGATAAAGAATAACGAACTCAGGTCAGAGATATTAAAATTATTAAAGAGCCAGAAGAATGATGAAAGCCTCATCGCGAACCTCCAAGATATGCTGAAGAACAGCGGAGCAGCGAGAGAGAAAAACATCACTAATGAAAAGTCTAAAGACCCAAAAATAGTGAGTGATATGACTGCAGAGAAAATCATTGCGAAGAAGAAAAACGGTGATCCCGCGCGAAATTTTGAATGGCAGCCATCTTGGTTTCAACAGGCCTCCAAGATGAGCGAAGCAGAGCCAATCAAAAAGCTCAATTCAAAATTTCTGGCGCGAAAAACATTACCAGACAACGAAAATGAAAAAGAAGATTCAAACACCTCAGAAGAATCAGAATCAGAAAGTGAAGGTGATTCAACAAACTACCAAATAAAATCAGCAATGAAAACGCTTTTTGCCGCATTTGGGCCAAAACTAAAAATTACTAAAAAGCTAACGAAGAAGCGAGCGAGCAAGCCAATGCCTCAAGACTTGCCCGCTCCCATCCTGACTACGAGAGCGCTGACGCCCGAACCCAGAGAGCCTTGCCGATACCGCCCTACGCCACAGACCGAAGCAAGCACCAACGCCCTCAAAAGAAGAGGAAGAACAGCCGCCGTCGTCAGGACTCCCAAAATCGAACCAGAGACCGATTCGTCCGAGGAGGAGCAGAACGAGCGAGCCGCAATGGGGAGAACCTTCCACGACGACTCCAAAGAAGAAATGGACAACGCGCATGCGCAAGACTACGCAGACGGCCCGGGAAGACATGAACTGACGAGAAGACCGCGTAGACTCGTTGCGAGCATCCCCACGCCGTTTTGCAATTTTCTGCATTTACGAGACCACGGACTACCTCAGGTTGTAAGTAATGGACCCAATAATGTCGGAAATTTACCCAGTGACTTCCCGAAGCTAAGGGTTGATGGCATTAACTTGCAAGAATGGTATCAACAGCTCCAGGTTGTCTTTATGAAGGAAAGCTTACTATTTTTTATCACTAGTCCCCCAAAAAGACCTTGGACTCTAAAAATAGATTGTTTACACCATAGAGCATTTTTCTTAATAATATCTAGTGTGTCTCCTGCAATGTATCACAGCATTAAGCCAAATCTGACTGTTTCAGAAATTATTCAATGCATGTTTAATTTGTTTCACAGTGATAGTGTAGCTACCACCACAAGGATGTCTAAAGATTTCTTTTCATCTAGG